CTTCTCTAGCGGATTGACTGGCTTTTTCTGGTTTAGTAAGGTCGAATTTGTTTAAAGCTTGGTGGTGAATGATAAGGTATTGGTGTGTTTGAACCTCCAATCCAGTTCACCTTTTATTTTTGGTTCTACAGTTGGTTTATGATTTGTTCTGCGCGCGTGATTCTTACTTTTTAGTTAGTTTGGTTGTACTGGTCTGATGTGCAGTAGTTTAGTTGAAAAGTTGTTGGCTTTTAGTTCTTTGGTCTCAAGGTTGTGGGTATGGCATTTTGTTGAACATGAGGCCTTGCTAGTTACGTGTATATCTTCCTTGGCTAAAATGAGTGTATGAAGTCAGATTGAGGAATTTGTGTGCTGTTCTGGGAGCAAAGTTTTCAGCGTTGGAAGTGGCCTTGGTGAATTTTGTCTAGTTTGGATTTTTTGGACATCGACTCGTATTTGAGCTTTGTAATCTTGTGCGCTTGCTTTTGTTTTCTTTGCCCTCAACCAGTACGAAGGTGGCCAAGCCCTGTTCTTGCTTCTGGTTTACTTGGCAACATCATGTGTAGAGGTGGCCAAGTCCAACATTTCTTGTTGTTTGGTTGGAAATCCTTTAATTGGATTATTGTGAGAATTTATAGTTGTTGGTGCATTTTTGAGGTCTGTTATGTGACAACATTTATGGTTTCCCGGAGGTTTGTTTCTTTGTTTAGTTGTTTTGTTCTGCTGTGTTATTGTACTTTGTATTGGTGCATGTACTTTTTCCCTTATTTAGGTTAAGAGTGTTTTTAACGAGGCACGCGTCCAAGTCAGTTTCTTAGTTCTAATAAATTATAAGGTAAAGTATAGTAATGGTCACTGAACGTTTTTAAAGTTTTCATTTAGGTTCCTAACTTTTAAAACTTGTAATACAGTTCTCCAATATTTATTCTGTTTGCAATATGGCCCCCTACGTTACATTACTGTTAGTACGTTTGCAATATGGTCACTGAACTTTTTAGAAACTTATATTTAGGTCCCCCAACTTTTAAAACTTGCAACAAAGTCCTCAATTTCATTCTAAACCCCAAATTCCTTTTCTATATCAAATTTTCTTTAGAAAATAAATATAAAAATTTTATCTTAAATATTGATATATCATAGTCTTATAAAATCAAAGCTTATAGATATAACCTACAAAACTTATTATAAGAGAAATAAAAGAGAGAATAAACTTTAGAAATTCAGATACTAAATAAAAAACCATGAAATTCCTTCCAAATAAAGTCAATAAGTTAATGAATAAAATAACAATTTCACTATGATAATCCCTAATAATTAATTAAGGATTATATATCTTTATACTTAATGCGTACATGTTCATAATTAATTAAGGATTATAAAACTTTAGTATGTACCTATTTGATTTGAAATATGCTACTCTTTGTACTTGTGTAAGTATGATAATCCCTAATAATTAATTAAGGATTATAGATCTTTATAATTAATGCGTACATGTTCATATTTGACTTGCACGTTTATGTATGTGAACCTCATAAAATAGTATATAATAAATATTATACTATTGAATTTTATAAGCTAAACGTCCAGATTGCTTTTATGTGCATGTTACAAGTTTCTTTATTCGCGATAGGATATCAACATTAATGGAAGAGTCCCGATGAATCATTCGAGTATGATAAATGATTACTTAAGTGGGCATATAAATATTGAAATATTTTATTTAAGTTTGTAAATTTATTTGTATATTTGTTTTCTTTCAAAAATAAAGGAGCTTTGGTTTTTTGTATAAACAATTTTTTAACTTGAAAATTTTACGGATGTTTAACATATTTCATTCAACTGGTTAGTGTCTGGTTCAAACTAGGGTTAAGCAACGAAGCCGAGACAACCGACATGGACCGAGTAAAACAGTTCGGTTCGGGTTTACGTTTAAACGGTTCGGTTTCGGGTTGATTTAAAGAATCAATTCTATTGATTTGGTTTGGTTCGGATTTTCCATATGGAACCCACTTGTTCCATATTGAACCGAATAGACAATTTTTTTTGAATTTATAGTTTCAAGTGAATTTTTCATTGAAAAACCGACGAACCGAACCGAACCAAACCAAAAACCGCATTATCGAATCGAACCGAACCAAAAAAATCGGTTTCACATAATTCGGTTTTTTAATGATTCGGTTTCGATTTAAATTTTAAAAATCGTTTATTTCGGTTCTGTTCAATTTTTAGTAAAAAACCGAACCGAACCGAATACACCCCTAGTTCACACGACCATTACTTTTTTAATATAAAGAGACAAGTTTGAACATACGAATAATAATGTGATCATTATGTAACTTTTAATAGTCAGAGGCTTGATAAAACTAAACTCTTAAGAAATCATTTTGTAACTTTTAATAGTTGGTGAGACTTTATAAAATAATATCATGTAATTAAAGGTCATTTATATATTTTAAGCATTTTTTAATTGAGTTGTAAACTAGAAGTATTTTATATAAACAAACACGATAAAATAAGTAAATGCACCTTGAATAGATCTCTCTCCTTTGATTAAAGAACTTTTATAAAGGAAATTTTAGATCAAAAAGGAATTTAGGGTTTAGAATGAAATTGAGGACTGTGTTGCAAGTTTTAAAAGTTGGGGGACCTAAATGCAAGTGCCTGAAAAGTTCAGTGGCCATATTGAAAATGTACTAACGGCAGTGTAACATCGGGACCATATTGCAAACGGAATAACTATTAGAGGACTGTATTACAAGTTTTAAAAGTTGAGGGACCTAAATGAAAACTTTAGAAAAGTTCAGTGACCATTACTATACTTTACCCTAAATTATATTGACCGATAAAAAAAGAGATTTTCACTGTATTAAGAAAGAGATTACCAGAGAAGTACGATCATGCGTAACTTGCAGGTTAATCAACTCACATCTTGTCTCTAATTCGTAGTTATTAATTATAAAAATAAAAATTTGAATACAAACGAAGCTTGCATATAGAGAAAATTACTCAAATGGAGTTCTCTACTCTTTATCAACATCTAATTATAAAAATATAATATCTATTTATACAACTATGCCCTGGTCCTTCAACCCTACAAATCTCTTTTTTGTCTCTCTATTTTATTTATTTATCGAACGAGTTGCATCACAAATTTTTCGAAAATTAAATAAAATTCGAAAATCACATCTCTAACAAATTACAAAGAAGATATGGAGTAGAACATATTTGAAGGCTACGTATACAATGATGCTAGCTAACAACCCCTTTCTTTTTAGGGTATATCAGTGTATGCCTGTTTCAGAAGATATTATACTGGAACAGATAAATGGGGTAGCATATATGTACACACTTACTAAGGTACATTCATCCATGGGAATAATTAAACTACCAATGGATATAGATGATATAGTATAGCACAGTGTATGTATGTATATATATATATATTATAATATGACCAGAAAAAAGAATCTTATCAATAAGATATGAAGGGTTATTTCTTAAAGGTTCTTCTTGTCTTTTTGCTCATGTCCTTGTATTCCATGCTTTATTCCCTCCCAGAAACTGCTACGAAGCTGCCTCCGTTTGCAGTTTAGCTTTATTTCATGCACGTCCCATGAAAGGCAAATATAACATACATATATGCACGTTTCTATCTATATATATACACACATAAAATATAAATATCTCGGTGTATAATAATCATGCAAGTACCGGTTATATTTGAATTTAAAGTTATCTCGACCGATTCTTAAATGAGAGAAGACATCAAATTTCTTATCACTCGATTTAATAGGAGTATTGGGTTTATGAATATAATAGTATTACAAAATAGAGAGGGCATCTAGGATTAGATATAAAAGCATTAAAGAAGTTTCCCAAGTAGCAAAGAACAAAGAAAGACTGGTACTTTAGAATGTCATTTATGCTGCTATGTACTATTGAAAGATTCGAAGATTCCAATAAGAGAGAAAATAAAGAATTTTAATGAAACCGCACATTTTCTCTCCTAACTCTCTAAAATCCAAACAAGTTAAGTCCTTAATCACGAGTATGACAAGTACTTACCCCAAATAAAAAAAAAAACAATGGATAAGAAAGAAAACATGCAAGTAAACTTCATGGTGGGAACTCCCATTTGTCACCTCAAATGATGTCACCGATGGCTGCTTTTGGAGGGTAAATTGCAGTTGTTAACAAGGGCAAAATCCAATGTTTTTCCACCTTTAAACCCCAAAACCAGGTAAAGTACATCATATACTTTCTCATTAGGCAAACATCAGTACCAATACAATGGCTCCAAAGGGAAGGAACCCTGATTTCAGAACAGTTCTTCCTCGTTTGTCATTAAAGGAAAATTTCATCAACTTTCTTCATGCATCATTAGCAATAGTGTTTTCTTTCTTTTTCTTTTTATGTTGATTTGGTGAGAGCATATATAACGGTGTAGTTGCAGTGCTGTCCCCTTGGGTGATTATATTGTAGGGACAAAGCAATGGGGGGAAACTGATTTTACTTCAAAGAAGGCATTTGACTATGGAATATATGTGTGTGTGTGTGTGTGATGGAAAGTTGTCATGATCATGATCTACAATTCCTCATTATCAAGGACTAGTTTTCTTCTCCTTTAGTATAATTTTGTATTCTATGATGTTGAACTTAATATTTTTCATGAAGTATGTGTTCGACATGTGAATATATCGATTTGACCTTCATAAGTCTAATAAATAAATAAATATATATATATATATATATATATAAACTTGGAATAAATCTAATCATACGTGTGTAACAGCAACAGTTATAATATGTGTTTGATAGTTCCTCCCTTGCTTTCTTTTCTTTACTTTCTTCTTCTTTTTCCTTTTGTTCTTTCTCTCTTTCCAACATGGACTGTTTTATAGTTAGTTCGTTTGAGACTTTGAAAGACATGTAAACCAGGTCCCTCTGGTCCTCCCCCATTAAAAAGAATAAAAAAAGAGAAAAAGACTATGGTAACAGATGGTTTTTTTCTTTGGCCTTTCTCCTTGGAAAGAACTTGACCAGTAGGCTTCAAGTACTAATAATGATGATAATGATGATGTCTGAAGAATTTCCTTTGTTTTGTCTTGAATTTTCTCTTCCTTTTGCTTCTACCCATGATGATCCTGGTTGTCAGGGTCAGGCCAGAATGAAGAGTACTTCAACCATTCAGCTTCTTGTGGGTTTGTAATGGATGATTCCTGTTCCAAAAAAAACCCATGTTTAAGTCATGAAAAACAACTTCTTATAATTCGGGTTTTAACCTAAACACAACAAAATGAAGAAACATCTTTCTTGTCTTCTCCTCATTTACAACAATCAAACTGTTTGTTGGTGTATCTATCTCAGACAACACATATGATAGATGGTTTTTTTATGCATGCTATCATTCTCACTTTAAATTTCCTTTCCCATGAAATCCAACCAAAAGAATGTTATCCACTGACTATCTGCTTTCTTTGCTTTTGAAACCCAACCAGAATTTACAGTACTTGTAAAGCAACATGTATTCAAATGAAACCAAGGAGGTGTAGGGAGAGTAGTGTGGCTTAGTTTTGCAATTGTTTTTTCTTCCTAAAGAGAAATAAAAGAAGATTCTATATGTTTCAGGATTTTATTTCATTTGAAGGCTTCATGGTTTCACATTCTTATATGTTTGATTTATACATAACATTTTACTAAAAAATCCCATCAAAATTGCTTTAGCTACGTGCATCTCTTTACAGGATGCTGAATACCAGCTAAACTCTGATGAAGAAAACAAAAAAAAAAAGATAAGAGAAAGAGAAAGAACTCTGGCTTCTCTCTTTATTTCAATATATATGCATGTATGTATGTATACATACTACATGATACATATATAAGTATATATTCACTTCTTTTTATCCATTGTTTTTATATATGCTATTGCTTCCCTAGTTCCCTTGCTTCTTTCTTTCTTTCTTCCGCTGCTTAGTTGGTATTATATGAAAAGAAGAAGGTCATGGATTTCAGAGTCAAAAGTTCATATATACTCACTTCTTTTATATCTGAAGATGAATGCAACCCATTATTAGTTCTTCCAAACCGATGCAGACCTTCCTCCCAGCTTGTAATGTTGCTCCTGCTGGTGCTGATGTTGTTGTTGTTGCTGCTGCTGTTGTTGATGCTGTTGCTGGTGCATTTTTTTCATTGAAGAAATATATATAATGAACAATAAGGATTAAAAAAGTAAAAATCCCAGAGTTTCATGCATCCTATATTCATCTATATGTAAAACATTGAAATGATATGCACAAAGGTAGAAAAACAAAAGCTCAGCTTAATAAGTACCGTACTTAATATTGTAAATGTGGCATGCATGTGTAAAACACTGTGTCATTTGTTCAGCTTAATAACTTCTAGAAAGTTACTAATTACAGTGAATTGTGCATGAGATATCTTGTTTGCACACGATGTGAGCTACTGACTTGTTTAATCTATTGGTGGAATGGAGGTTAATTAATTTGATATACAATTATGATAATGATGATGATGATATATATATAAATTACCTGGAAGCTTTCGTTTTGAAGCATTATCCTGGAGACATGGATAATGGTGGAGATAGGATCGACGGCCTGCTAATGTGGAAGGCCACCGTAGCCATCTGATGATGCGTATGTTGTTGTGTTGGTTGTGGTGGTGGTGGTGATGTTGCTGATGATGATCATGCCATATGTGCTGCCGGAGATGCTCCGGTATCTCTTTGCAAGTTCCTGAACTGGAGCTTCCCTAGCGGCCGAAGCTTCTCCGATCCCCACCTGTAATGGATTCCTCAAAGAAATGTAAGCAATTCACTAAGAAAAAGAAAATGAAAAGCAACCCTAGAGAGATTTGTCAAGTTGATGGATAAATTGCATGAAGCAAAATGGTACCTCGTCGAAGCTTTTTGTAAAGGGGGTGAAACTGAAATTATCGGATTTTAACTGTTGGATGTCCATGGTGGCACTGGCGGCATAACTCGATAAAGCTGCTGCGACTCCGGCGACTTCTTCTCTAAGAGGGATTACGTCCTTTGAAGAAGAACAACTCCCACTGGCACTATCTCGTCGGCTATTTGGATCATTGGCAATGGCATTGGTTGCTTCGGCGGTCGTCGTCGTTGTTCGATCCGACCAGTTGCACTGCCTCGGTTGAGTCTGATAAAATATCTTGGATACCACGAGCTCTCCTTCCTTCTCTTCCTCGTGCTGACCGAGATGGTACTGATGCATCACCCAATTCGTCTTCTCCGGTTTCCGATTCTTGCCGAAATTGGTGTAGAGGACAAGGATCTTCTTGCACCCTTTCTGCTGGCCGTTCACCATCACCGGCCTCGTCTTGCCGGTCTTATGCCACCTCGTTTCTCCGCCTGGTAAGTCGCATTCCGTTTGGATTTTCCTACGTTTTCGTGTCCCGGTGGTGTACGCCTTTGACGGTCTATGGAAGAAATGCCTGTTCAACCCATCTGTGGTTACTCCTACAAGAAATCAAATCCAAAAGAAATCAAAGTTAGGTTCACTTAGGTGCAACAAACTATAATCAAACAATGCATATTATATATATATATATATTCTGAGCTACCTGGGAGTTTCTCAGGATGGGTATAACAAATACCATCTTCTCCTTCAATGGTGGGGATGAATTCATCGATCAAAGGGTGAGATTTCATGTCTTTAGCTTCAAGTACTTTAGCTTCAAGGTGTTCTATCAGTTCTTGGTCCGTGGGATCAAATTTAACTCCAGCTGGTAAACCTAACCAGTCCTGAAAATTTTCATGATTTCAATCAAAAACAAGTTCCCTTCAAGATCAGAAAGAAAAAAAGGCTTTGAAGCAAAAAGAATATGAATCATTACCGGTTTTCCTTCAAGCTTGTGACCGCAACCAGGGCACTGATTGGATCCGCACAGCTGATGCTCTTCGAGCTTTGCATCGATGAGATCGGAGCTGCTGACGGTCCCCAAGTGACTCTTGTTCATATTGCTTCAATCTTGTGCGAAATAACCGACTTTATTCGACGGAAAACTACTCATGCCCCGCCTCCGGTTATCTTCTTCTCTATAGAACACACATCAAACAGATTGAAAACACCGAAACCAAATCGGAAAAAAAAAGAAGCCTAAGCAAAACCCAGATGAGAAGTACGGTTCAAGAGAAGATATCTTCCTTCGCTTTCCCTCAAGAAAGAAAGAGAGAGAAGAAAACCGTTACAGTGGGACATAGAGAGATATAAAAGTCTGATGCTTTAACCACTTGGGAAAAAACATCAGAATTCCCTCACTTTAACTGAAGCAAAAAAGAAGGGAAAAGTTGTCCCTTCCTCAGCTACAAACACTCAATCCAACCCGCTTTTGCTGAATCGAGTGACCTCATGGCTGTTTAAGAGAGAGAAACCAAAAAGAAAACCCAGGTGGCTTGCTCGAAAGCTTAAGGATTCTCACACAATCACCTTTGTTTCCTTAAGCTCTTACTAGTAAAGCAAGCAAAAGAGGGAAACGGTCTTCATAGCTGTTACTTGCACACATTCAAAAGCACGGCAGCTCCCGTTATCTGTATCTATATACTTAAAATATATACACACACATATATACTTAAAATATACAAAACAAAGCTTATATATATTTATATATAGTATTGAGTAATACTCTACGAATTCATTGGCTAAGTCATATGATGACGGACGTGGCATTGAAAAAAAGCTTTGAGTAAGGAAGACGATATGTATATATATACGAGGAAAATTACAGTTGTTTATTTTATATATATATATATAGGTGATTAATTAAGAGATTAGAGAGAGGGCATATGATGAGAATTGAGAAGAGGGTTTTAGTAGAAGAGGAAAAACAAGGATGAGAAAGAGAAGGAACTCACATGGGTTTTGAGATGGAGAGGTGATGATTATTCTTTTCGCCATTACTGGATTTGAGAGAGAGAATTACGGGGTTGCTTGATATACAAGGCAAAGAAACAGTCTGTGTACTCGATGGACCACCCTAAACACATGAAACCAAAAGAGAGACATAATTTATTTTACTATCCGATCCAATAATACGTAATAATGAGTTCTTCACTTGCCTTGCACTTTTTTTTATTTACAATAAATTAGTTTTTAAATTAACACTCTTTAAAACTTAATTTAGATCAAACGCTTTTTTGAAAATATTTTTTTATCAATCGCATCTTTATTTATGTGATATTATTATTGTGAAAATGTTTTATCAAAATAAGGAAGAAAAATGTAAAAAGTTATATAAACTTTTTTTAGTGCCCTCCAGTTCCAAGGAACAGTTTCACCTAAACTATTATGTACAGACTCGGATCGTACAGTTAGTTTTGATGGGTAAGTCTCCTAACGGAGATTTTCTGCATATACAAAGACTCGAATCTGAGACCTTGCTTAAGCGATATCAAGTTGCTTACCATTTGAACCAGTAATCGTTGATAAAATTAAATAAATTTTATATAAAAAATACTATGGGGTGTATTTAGAAAACACATTTTTATACGAGTGCAAATAACTTTTTAAGGGAATTTCACAAGGCCTAATTTAAGATCAGATCAGATCAGATGATGGTTAATGCTTCACGTTTATAACACTCGTCCTAGTCATGGACCGAATAATTCTAGTAAACATACATATAAAATAGAATAATTGCTTCTTTGTCCCACTTTTTAATTATTTTTTTAATATTATTATTTGATACATTATTAGTGGTGATTTGTTTTTCGTGAACCATTTAAGTCTAATATAATATGTCATCAATTAAACGATTAATATACCACGACAAATTATAGTAGGCTGTTTATTTTTTATAATGTATAGAATATTATCTTATTTCTAAACATTATTTTAAGTTAATTGTATCGTATGTTTTAGAGTTATTTTTAATTTTAAATCAATTTTTAGATTTTGAAACATTTTAAATCAGTCTTTAAACTATCAATATAATTTAAAATACATCATTCTTTCAGTTTAACAGAGTATTTAAATATTAATATCAACGCAGATGCAGTGAGAGGCATGTTTAAAACTCGTGTACCAAATTATGGACATTGTGTATAGACAATTTAGATTTGATGTGTTAAAAAATAACATGTTAGATTTTATTAATAGTCAATCTTTTACTTGACGGATCTAAACTATCCATGTAACATGTGCACATGTGTTAAAATTTTAATTCAAAATTTTTAAATATGTTTCACGTTCGATCCAAATTGATATTGAATACTCAAATAATTTGTTAAACTAACCAAAAAAAAGTATTTGAAGTGATATTGATAGTTTGGATAAAACAAATTAAAATATTTCAAAATTTGGGGATTAATATAGCATCCGGGCATAGTTTCAGGATGCTTATGTGCAATTAACTCTACCGTTTTTTTAAAAGATTTGATTTACTTTTTTGGAGGGGGAAAAGTGGGCCACAAATAAGTCAAGTTGTGTGATGTGAGCAAAGCTTAGAGGTAGATCAGGTTTCTCTTTTTGTACTAAATGGAATTTCTTTATTATTATTTTTTTTTTGGATTAAAAAGTGTCGAACATATTTTTTTCGAAAAACATTTCTTACATACACGTCTTTATGTAAAGAATATAATTCAAAAATTAATTTATAATAGATGCTAATAAATATATAATTTTTATTTTAGTAATTTCAGAAAAAATAAATAAAATAATTTAGAATGACATAATATTTTCTTTTAAAATACAATTATTGTAAGCTCAGATCAAGAAACGTCGACTCATCCCATTGTTCTCCACGGAAGATTGAATCAAGGAAGACTTGTTTCATTGTTCCTCAGGGAAGATCAAATCTGGAAAAAAAGAGGGATTTGTTTCACTTTTTCTTGAGGGAAAATCAGATCTGGGGACGTTGATTCATTCCACTATTCTTCAGGGAAGATTGAATTGAGGCAGACTTGTTCTACTGTTACCTAGGGAATATTAAATCTTGAACGAGAGGGATATGTTCCGCTTCTTCTTGAGGGAAAATCAGATCTGGGAACATTGATTCATTCCACTGTTACTTAGGGAAGATTGAATCGAGGTTGATTTGTTCCACTGTTACTCAGGGAATATCAAATCTTGAAAGAGAGGGATATGTTTCGCTTCTTTTTGAGGGAAAATCATATATGGGGACGTTGATTCATTCCACTGTTCTTCAGGGAAGATTGAATCGAATTCGATTTTCTTCTCTTATCTTCAAGCATATCAAATCTGAAAATTATACATTAACCCTTGTTAGTATGTGTTTGAGAATTTAAAAACATCATACCTGAAAGTCTTGGGAGGAAAATCTTTGGAAATTGATTTTCTTGTTGAAACTTGTCTCACAACCACTAAATATGGGAATCTGCCTCGACTTGAGTGTCAGTTGATTTTTGGGTTGAATTGGTTACTTTTTAAAAAATTTAATTTTTTTTATAAAATATTTTAATGAGAAACTTTGGAAATCGCTTTCTCATTTTTGAAAAATCACGTGAAAACATCCTGCCCGAAGATCTTATAGATGGTCCAAAGGACTTAACATCTTGCTCGAAAGACTGACAAATGTCCCAAAGGATTTAATCATCATGCTTAAAAGGCTTACTGATGGCCTGAAGGACTTACCGATTTTGGAAATTGTTTACTAGGTAAGAAATTTTCATTTCTTTTCAAAAATTTCAATTTTTGGATTTAAATGAGAAACTTTTCTCAATTTTCGAAAAACACATGAAAACATCATGCCCGAAGGTTTTATGGATGGCCCAAAGGACTTATCATCTTGCTCAAAAGACTTACATATGACCCGTGTAACACCTATTTCTTAGATACGTCTCCGTACACAAGTCACTGGTGTCACATAACTTTTAAAAACATTTCCTGATTTGTAAACCCATAAAAATTTATTTCAAAAATAAAACAAAACATTTTAATATAATAATAATAAAACGACAGTTGTAACACATTATACAAATAATAACTTTAATACATTCCAGAGCATTTTCGTAAGTCTAAATACATGCCAGCTAATTATAAAAAATAAACATAAATGTCCTATAGTTACTGATGAGGCAACCTTTGATTGATGATGTCCACTGCACTCCTTACTCCGCTAGTCTTTGTTATTTCCTACATGTGAAATCAACACATGGTAAGTATTTACTTAGTGAGGCATAGTCATACAAAATAAATTTTACTTAATATAAGCATATCATAAAATATCAAAATACGAATGAAAATATTATAAAGCATATCAATACATAAACTGGCTTGGCGAACCAATCTTCATTCAAATAGCCTGATAAACTAGTTTTAGTATGCCCAACATACCTATCAATTAATATTTTCCAATTTATTCTTTAGTTGCCCAATGTATGCCAAATGAGAATACAAGGTACATGCATTGCACCGAAGTGTCGAAATGGAAATTCACAAATTTCATGGGTGCACACATAGTGTCAAAAGTAAACACAGTACTGATACGAAAATACACTGTTATGCCTTAAAAAAAATCGATCGATAACTTTTATACATAATTGTATAACGAAATGGTGATTCACAAACTCATTATGAATACCATGATTGCACATCTAGTGCCAAAAATACACAGTACTTATATGAAAAGGCATTGTTATGCATTAAACAAAATCGATCGATAACCATTACATACAATGTATGTCGAAATGTATCTATGACTCTCAATGCACATACAATGGGCTATTCAATCAACTTAGTAGATTACACAACATAAACGTTCATCTATTTATTTTAGAGCAGTTCATACTCTACAATTATGCTTGTATCAATTCCATAAACATTATGAAAATATATCGAATTACAGTAAAACATACTTTTAATCAAAACATTCGAGGTTGACTCATCGTAAGTCATCATCTCATATAAATACAATAAATTCACTCACCTATTATGCCTCACTATTATGCCTTACTGATGTCCAACTATTTGGCAACTTTATCTTTGCCCTTTTGCTTGTTGGATTCTGGAGCTTGGTTACGATCTACACAAGCATCCATATTCATACACATATAATACAAATATTAGCATATTTTCTAACATTTATACAAAATAATAATACTCAAAGTACTATTGT